CAGCCCGCGCTCCCCGGCCGGCCGCTCTCGGGCTCCCGCTCCCCGCGCGCAAGATGGCTGACCCGGCTGCGGGGCCGGCGCCGAGCGAGGGCGAGGAGAGCACCGTGCGCTTCGCCCGCAAAGGCGCGCTCCGCCAGAAGAACGTGCACGAGGTGAAGAACCACAAATTCACCGCCCGCTTCTTCAAGCAGCCCACCTTCTGCAGCCACTGCACCGACTTCATCTGGTGAGAGGGCGCCGCGCACGGCTCCCGCCGGGACCCCGCGCCCCGGCTCCCCGCTCCGGACCCTTCCGGCCCGGACTCCCTGGTGAACAGTCCTGCGAGCGCCCTCTTCCCCGGCCCCAGACGGCCGCAGCGAGGCGCCTCCTGCCCTCTCTCGCTCCCGGTCGCCTCCGGAGCTGGCCCAGAGCGCGGGGTGTCTGTCCCTCCCCGGAAGGGCAGCGCCTCGGGTGCCCTCTCGCCCGGCGTTCCCTATCTCGCCGCCTTCTTCGGGGCGCGGGGCGCCCTCACCCCCAGCCTTCTTTGCCGGGGGCAGCGCCCCGGGGTCCTCTCTCTGTCTCCCGGCGGGCATGGGGTATCTTTTCCTCCTTGTGTCTCCGGGGCAGCGCCCTGTGTTATTTCTTACTGCGCCTCTCCGGGGGCCTGGGTTCCCCTTTCCACTCCTCAGTCCTCCCCCGCTCACATCACTGCGGGCCCCTTTCTCCCCACTGTCCCTCCAGGCGCAGGGCGTTCTTTTTCCCTTCCCAGTCCCTCGGGGGACACCAACGCCCGCCGCGGGGTCCCTCTCATCCTCCCTCTGGATGCGTCTTTATCTCTTCCCTTTCCCTGAAGGTACTCGGGGCATTTCTGGTGGCAGATCTCTCGCCTGCCTTCCGCCCCCACTCCGACGGAAACGCTCCCCCCATCCCGCCACCTGGTGGTCGCAGCCTCCTCTCTTCTGCCGGGGTGAGGGGAGGTGGTGGTTACCGCCGGGCCCCCCAAAAGCGGAAGACTCTTGGGCACCCGCCTGTGGCTGGGAGGTTGCACCTGGGGTTGAGGGCCAGGGGGCAGGGGGTGGAACTAGCTGGTGGCCGGGTCCCTCGGGCTTCCTGACATGCCTCCTTCTGCTTTTGCAGGGGCTTCGGGAAGCAGGGATTCCAGTGTCAAGGTAGGCTCTGGGGCTCTGGGAATGCTGTTTGTGGGAAGAGAGGATGAAAAAGACTTTGTAGAAGTGAATGAGTTAGGCAGAGTGAAGGAATCACGTTTGTCAGAGTGACCTTCCGGGCTAGGAATTCTTCACCACAAAAGGGTCCTTTTAAGGGGTGTGTGTACATGGGCCCGTGATGCTAAGTCTAGGAAAGGCTGGTGGAGCTGGGAAGCCCTAAAAGCCAAGGAAGTATATCCACCCTTTCTCCTTTCCCAGCATGGGAAGAGTCAAAACAGGTCTCCAGACCCCATCCTGGCACGGCCAGCCCTGCTGCAGGAGGGCGTGTCTCTAGGGGCCGTTTTCTGCCCGTTCCCTGCTCGTTGCCCTTCTTCATCTCCCAGAGTGAGGCTCTGCCTCTCCCCTTGCCTCACAGAGGTCTCTGCAGGTGGCCACCTCCTCTGCAGATGGTGCATCCCCTAGAAAGGCGACTGTGGTTGTCCCCTGGGAATCCTCCCTCTCTCAAAGAAGTGGTTCCAGATGGAGTGCCTCGCAGGTCCTGATTTAAACTGCTCTCTCTACCTTATGGGTGGATACAGGAAGGACTCCTAGTGACTGGTTACCTGAGTCCTTGCATCTGGTTTGAAATCCTTGGTTCCAACCAGTGATGTCCACTATAGTAGTGGTGGACTTTTGATCATGTGTAAGGTGGCCTCAGCTGTCTCTGGGGTTAGTGTCTAAAAGACAGGTTGCCATTTGGCTCTCCAGGACTAAATCACCTGCAGACTTCTTTAACCCTCAGGATGTCTTAAACATTTTGTGAATATGATGTCAGCATTTTAGGACTGGGGGATTTTACATATAATCTGATTTTCCAGCTTCCACTTTGTTGAGAAATGGTCCCACTTCCATGTTAGAACAGTTGTTTGAGCTGAGAACAACTGTTTTTGTAGGCAGAACACGCATTCACTATTTTTATTTCAGTTGATCCCAGCCAGGCCTGTTTCACCCATTTCTGGTCCCTGCAGGCGTGTGAGTTTGCAACCTCTGATCTGGAAAGTTTGCTTGTGCTCCCCTCCTGTCCTCCTTTCCCCCCTTCCCCCACGCCAGGTGCATTTGAGTTTGGTGAGAAATGGCACTTTTCTGGGGTGTGTCTTAGGGGCAAATTGACCACCTGGGGAGCTGGATTTGGATCAGAAGAAAGCATTTGAACCTTGAAGAGTCTGAGCTGTGACTTAGCACTAACTGACAGTTTTGCTGTCGCACCTCCACCCTCCAGGGAAAAATAAAGTGATCCCTGGTGAGTGTAGGTGGCATTGCCAGTTGTGCAGAATGCCCACTTGCTCACAGCAAGTCATTGCTGTCCCCTGAGATGCATGCATTGCTCTCACCTGAGATCTGGGGCAGGGTGGGCTCAGCCAGTGAGCCTTGAAAACCTATCCAGCTCCTCTTAACCAAAATTTGGGGGCGTGGTTTCATGCACCACACCAGAGGACTTCCCAAATCCCTTTAAGTGGCAACAACTTAGGCTCTGGTGCAAATAGTTTGGACTGTTTTCTAGAACTTTGTCTGATCCCTCAAATAAGATACTGATGGCATCTTGATGCTGGGATGCGTAATTTCTTCTTTGAGGTTGCCTTTCACTTCCATGAATTGGTTTCTGTCTTTGTCTCTTGCTGAGGCTGGGGTTGATTTTTAAACATTTTTATGGCTGCTCTCCTATGCCACCTGCTCTGCAGTTATTGGTGTTTGGGAAAGTCACTTTGGAGTGTGCAGGGCATGACACATTTGAAGCAGGAGATCCTTTTATTCAAAGCCTGGAAAGTGATAGGAATTTTCTAGTGCAATGAGAAAACAGCAGAATTAAAGTTTGTAATGAAATATGGACACTTTAGAGGTAGGAATGTCAGTTTTTTAAAATCGTCTTTCTTTTTCTCCTCTGTCCCTGAGAGGCAGTATAGAGTAGTGGGCATGTGCACAGGCTACCAGGCAAGTCACTGTGGGTTCGAATCCTGGTTTCAAGACTTCCTAGGCATAGCCATGCTGTACCTCAGGGTCCTTATGTATAAAATGGGTCCAATTATAGTACCTACCTTAGAGGTGCTGAGCAACTCCATGTTGTCGCAATATCTAAGATGCTTGGACCAGAGTTTGGCACAGAGTAAGCACTCAGAAAGTATCAGCTCTTATGGTGTCCTCAGACTACCCCAATGGTGGGGCAGCTGGTGTGAGAGAAGACTGGCTCTGCAGGGTTGCTTTGCTATGGAACCGGCTGCCAGGTAAGAATCCAAATCCAGCTGTGAGCATCTGGTCTATGTTGCTGCTTTGACAGCCTATATCATTTGGATGGGAGTGGGGAGGAGCGAGAGACTGAGGTGGAGCAGATTGGCAGCCCCTGAGACTGAGGTGCTTCGGATGGGGACATCCAGGAAGGAGGGAAGTTTATCCCTGGGACTAATTCTGGAACCACAGAGGAATTCCTTATTCTATGATTATTTTTGGTACTGGATATTTCCTCTTAAAGTGAATCTACTTAAAACGGGGTCAACATTTTATAGAAACATGTTTTATTCTCTCACCTAAGTCAGTGGTCCAGAGCACTGGGGCCTTAGTAGGTTCCTCTCAGCTTTCTGCTCTATCATTCCTAGGGAGGGACAATTATCTCATGGTCCAAGGAGCATGCTAGACTCTCCAATCATACATCCTTCTTTCTGCTAGCAGGAATGAGGAAAGGGGTAAAGAAAGGCAAAGGACCACCTGCTCAGTGTTGCTTACAGAAGTTACCTCAAGATGCTTCTGCCTATATCCTATTAGCTAGAACTTAATCATCTACCCGCACTTTGCTGCAATAAAGCATATGGGAAATGCAATGTTAGTTTCAGGTAACCATGTTCCCAGCTAAAAGCTGGTGGTAGGGGCTGGTATTTTCATTTCAAAAGTAGAAGCAGAGAGAGGATATAGTCTCTGCCACTCTTGGGTAGGAGGAGCATAAAGCAAGGAAACCACTGAGAGCTGCCTGCATGCTCCATTATGCTGCCGTAAAAATTGGGGATGCTGGTATGATTTGGGAGAGGAAGGATGGAAAGTCCATAAACCATGGGAAATTATGGATTTCTGTGTGCTCAGGGGAGTTTAAGAATAGATTTCTCACTTTTGTACTGCTAGAGGACAAAACTTGAGGTTGACTGCCACATAATTTCTCCCTGTTTGTTTCCACTATATTTTTTATAAAACCACTCTCTGGGAGGTAGCTTAAGACTGTCTCAGGTGGCTGGGGACTGGGGCTGAGGATCCCTGCGGGGAAACTGCTTAAATTCTGGATTAAAAGCAGGACCCTTTAGACAAGCAAGGCAGACTTCTCTGTGGCATTCTTTAGAGAAGCCTAGAACCTGAATTTGTGCCTTTGCTGTAATTAAGACAAGCCATTAAGTGGAATTATACTCTTACCCTAAGAAGACTTTGCAGTTTGGCAGAGAGAAAAACTTTATTTTTTATTTTTTAAAGGAAGTCACTTCAGTAGAATTAGAGAGGCAGTAAAAATAGAGATTCATAATTCATAGCATGGGGTTGAAGTCAGATAGAACTGGGTTTGAATCTCTGATCTGCCACCTACTCACAATGTGACCTTGGGCAAATCACCACCCTGTAGTAGCCTTGGTCTCCTCATCTGTAAAGTTAGGTTAATAGTATCTACCTCTAGAGTTATGTTGAGCAGTAACGAGGTAGTGCAAGAGAAATACCCACGTTAAGTATCAGTGACTCTAAGTGAGATCATCATTATTACTTGATTAGCTGTAGGAAACTGTGTCGAAAGGGGACAGAGTTAATTTTGGAACTCGTTAAATGACTATGCCTCTTTTGTGTACTTAGATGGGTTTATTCTGAGGCTATGTTTCTTCATAGGCTTTGGGCAACACCAGTGAATACACAGCTCAGTGTCTGAGGCCAGAGAGCCAGGATTGGTTAGCGTTTTGTCTTTCCTTGTGAGAAAGTTCTGAACTTGCCACAGACTTTCTAGACAAAACCCAGTGCACTAATTTTCTGATGACGAAGAGCTAGAATTGATGATTATAACGAGTAAATCAACTCTTTCCTTTCCTGTGCAGATTAAAAAACATGTTTTTTAAACTTCTAATTGAAATTATTTTCAAAAAACCCTACATCATGAATCTAATCATTATTGTTTTCATCAATATCAACCCTATAGAATGTTATTTTAGTGTGTAGTTAACACATGTTGATTAGAATATACACTTCTTGGCCGAGCCCGTGGCGCACTTGGGAGAGTGCGGCGCTGGGAGCGCAGCAGCGCTCCCACCGTGGGTTCGGATCCTATATAGGGATGACCGGTGCACTCACAGCGCACACTGGCTGAGCGCGGTGCGGCCGGTCTCAAAAAGGACAAAAAAAAAAAAAAAAAAAAAAAAAAAAAAAAAAAAAAAAAAGAATATACACTTCTTTTTTCAACAAGAAATGAACCGAAGGTTAATTTTATTTTTGGCATAGTTTTCCCTATGAGCTTATAATATGATGTGGTGCACTTCAGATAGCACTTTTTTCAGTAAAATCATAAAGAGAATGATTTTTTAAAAAATCACCAAGTCAGGCTGCAAGTTATTAGAGGTGGCTTCTGTTCTACTTCTTTTCTTTCCAGAAGCAGATCTCAGAGGTCTCTGAGCCAAACTCCACTCACATTTTGGCTTATTCTGCATGTGTTCTGTGGGATTTCAGGCCCAATGTCCTGATTGAAATAAGAATCTTCGAGTGGGTTACTGTTGGGTCTTAAAAAGCAGGACTGATTTGTTGGAGAGGCAAGAACAAATTCATTCTGAGCTGTAGAGCACTCAGGGGAAGCCTGAAGCTTTGTCACTGGGCAACAGGATGCCTTTCCAAGTAAATATGGAAAATACGACCTTTGAAAATCTAGTTGATATGATATACGTGTTCTTAGAAACTAATTTTTTAAAGTATACTATTTCTGAGTACTAGTGATACTCCAGGTACTGCCCAGAAGCACATATAGC